TGGGGCTGCCGCTGCAGCAGGGGACAGGCCGGGCCACTCGCACAGATCGGGGCTGGGGAGCACGGGGACCTGCCCGTGCCACCCCGAGCAGGGCGGCCTCGGCGGTTGTCAGATATGACCAAGGCTCCTAACTAGAGAACTGGGCTTAAATCGGCTTCCCCAAGAGGCCTCGGTGTTTTCCTCATGCTGCCGCTCCCAGTGTGCACAGATGTGCTGTGGAGACGCCGGCCCCATCCCAGCCGGCTCCACCGACTCTCCCTTTCGGGCTCCAGGCCGCGCAGGAGGCAGCAGGGAGATGGCGAACGCGGCGCCGGGCAGCGGGGACCTCCCCAGCGCGGAGCTCTGGGCCTCCCACAACAGGATGGTCATGGAGCCGCTCGAAAGCAACGACCCGGAGGTGAGAACCCGCTCCCGGCGGAGCAGCCCAGCGCGGGCACCTGCTCCCCTCGTCCCGGCAGCCACGGGGACACTGAGCTCCCCGAGCGGGTGACACAGGGCCGGGGGGCTCCAAGGCTGAGCCGGTCCCTGTGCCCCGTCATGGTGAGAGGTGCGGAGGGAGGGCGCCCTCCAACACGGGGCGTTTGTCTCCCCTGCCACTTGTCACCTGTTGGGGACCAGTTGTACCAGGGAGGGATCTCACCTCCTTTCTCCAGTACCTTTCCAAGTCTTTCTCCATGGTGATTTCCCCTCTGGGGCTGCGTCCCCAGCTGTCCGTGTCCCCGTGCACAGTGAGGCAGTTTCTCCCGTCCCCCAAAGGTGTTCGGCATCATCAAGAAGGAGAAGCAGCGCCAGAGGCTGGAGCTGGAGTTAATCGCCTCGGAAAACTTTGCCAGCCGAGCAGTCCTGGAAGCCCTGGGATCCTGCATGAACAACAAATACTCCGAGGGTTACCCCGGACAGAGGTACGGGGCAACCAACCGAAGCCCTTACAGGGAGCAGGAGAGACCCTTACAGGGTCTGAACCCCTCTGCTTCTGCCCTTGGTGGCACCCGGGGTGTCCTGCTGCCCTGGCTGCTGCCGCCAACACGGTGTCACCCGGCTCGTCCCACCCAGCACGGCCTTGGTCGTGTGGACCTTTCTTCATCAGTTTGCTTTTATTTAGTCCCTTGCAGTTTGTGCTGAGCAAACAGCAGCAACCCCGGCGTGAACGCCGCCGTCCTCTGCCCGCAGGTACTACGGTGGCACCGAGTTTGTGGACGAGCTGGAGAGGCTGTGTCAGAAGAGAGCGCTGCAGGCGTACGGGCTGGACCCCCACAAGTGGGGGGTCAACGTCCAGCCGTACTCAGGTACCGGCGCTCGGTTCTGCCCCGGCGGCGCCGCCG